TAGTGTATAGATAAATGGAGTTACGTATTGCGTAAATGCAGTCAAAATAATAGTCAACAATTCGTTATCAGAATGATCTGATTGCAAACGCGAGCAATAAGTCTCTTATACACTTATGAATGCATTTGTGGTGGCATGGATCGATTTAGCATAAAAGAACTCGTACAATATGTACCTGCGAGCGTACTGTAAATGAACGGGAAAAGATTTCAGCGATGCAAAATTAGTAATTAACATTTTATCTTTTAAAAATTTTTTAATAATATTTTACGAATACATTGCTCATGTATAATAGTTTTCTTTAACTTGGAACGATCATTGCATAAATTAGTAAGTTGCATTTCTTATTGAAGTATTATTTATAAATTGAATAATTCATTTATATATACATATATATACAAAAAGAAAAAGAAAAAAAAAAAAAAAAGAAAAAAAATTTAAATAGAGCAAATTTTCGAAACTATTGACAAAATTGGATTTGTATATATGAACTTAAAATTTAACTTAAAATTTGGGATATGGATAGACAGAATGCTATTATACCTAATATTATGACATTTTTGTTAATACTTATATTGTAATATTTTAATTTATATAAAAAACATTCAATAGCGTTATTATTTTTTTTTTTTATTAATTTTTCTTTTTACGAACCATAATTTTTTCTTATCATACATTTTTCCTTTTTATACATTTTTCCTTGTTTTTTAACCATTGTAAACGTATTTTTAGTTTAATAGAATTTCTCAATTAGAATTTATATACAATTTATATTTTATATCATATCGTGAAAATATAATAAGAATAGCACTCGTATAATTTTTAATCAAGGTGCTTTGTAGCTGTAAAATTTCACTGTTATTAATATTAGGGAATGCTCCGTCCCGTTTTTAAAATACTTAAATTTTATATGCTTTTTGAGATTATAAATTATTCTCGCTTTCAAAAAGAAAAATACATAACCAAGTGACTCAAACTTTAAATGGGACTAAATTCTCAATTAATATTAAGAGTCATAGATCATATATACATTTCAAAAATTTTTTGTAAAAATTACCCGATATTATATAATGATTCACTATGCTGCCTAAAAACAATCAATCATTCGAATCCATCAATATCATTTTTTTAAGATATACGTAACATTTTCTTAAAATTTACACGTATCTATTTGTAAGATTATTATTATATAATTAACATCGACATGCTGGTTCTTTTTTAAATGAAACTAATAGTTGAATGTTAGCGGCAATTGAATGGTTACTGTGATAACACCTTAACACACGAAAGCAGCTGTCGATTTGCAGAATCAATCACCGATGCAGAACGGCTCCGAGTCCGAGGGGGAGAGTGGCTGCATTTGCTAGGGAGGTGGTTTATCAGTGTGCAGCTAAATAATGCTAACTCCTTGAGACATTCTGATATGAACCAAAAAATCATCACGTACTATTAACAAGATGCTGGCTTCTTCTGATGTCTACATCGTGGCCCATAAGTTAACGCGCGACGAAGGCACAAAAAACGTTTCATTGACACCGTTCTTACTATCGACTACTTCTGCCCCGATCAATCTCATTTAAGTCGTTTAACCGTAGCGTGATTAACCGATCGTTTTGCTATGATTCATGTTAAGAACAGCTTTGTGCGGTTATAGTGCGCGTTGTTACGTTGTTGTAATCCGCCATTTATTCGACCAGAATCTAGCGATCTTTACATTTACATTTTACAGTATGAATCGGGAATTGACGTCGTTCAAAAAAAAAAAAAAAAAAAATGGAAAAAAACAAGAAATACACTATCGACCGAATTACATCGATGTAATGGCTACGTCACGATGATAGGGTAGCTGTTCCACGCTCGTTAAAATATCTTTGAACGTGTCGTTAAGCAATACGCAAAACAGCTTTTTTGTGAAATTGTACATATCACGAATCTTGATGTCGAGAAAGAAGTTGAAGAAGTGTATACATCGACTTTTTTTTTCTCTCTTTTTTTTTTTACTTTGCCATGATATTTCTTCGAATCTCAACTTTTCGCGACTTTCGAAGTTCGGAAGTTGAAGTGGTACCAATTTTTTACGAATAGCGTTTCTTTGCTTATCCTATCATCGTTTCCTGTGATCGCTGTTTTTCGAGGTGAAAATCTATTCAACACGCACAAGATACCGACAAGCTTAGACAAGAGTGTTCTAGACACAAAAGATATTCTAGACCTTAACGAAAACGACTGAAAGTAAAAATGTTTTAATAGCCCATCAGTTAGTCGAGGAAATCGAACGATCGAGCGGTCTATTCCTGGGGATATATCTGTTACGAAAAAATTATTACTTACACGTAGAATATGTTATTGGCGAGTCTGTTCGATGGCGTATTGTTCAAGGTTTATAATATTGTAATCGTAATAACAATCTTTATAGACGTTTTTCAATATCTCTTGATAAATAAGCAAGCGACTCAATACGCGATCCGTTCATAAATTGAGGAAGAAGACGCACTAATATGATGAGAATAATTTAGGGAAAAAAAGGATGCTCAATCGTTCACTCGCCATTTTATACGATTATTTCCGATTCAACCATGCAATCATCGTCGTGGTTGTTTAAACGTAGGCGCTTAATATTTACAAAATTGTCTTTTACAAAATCATTGACACTATTGATATGATTACTCGCCAACATGCAATCTTTCCAACGAGCAATCACGCCCCAATACGAAACTTGTTGATTGTTTTAGCAAATATATCGTTTCTAATTCTAAATAAAGGAAGGAAAGAAGGATATTATACAATTAGAAAAGATAAATGGAAGTTGCGTCTTCTTTCTAACGAAACATACACGCAAAAAAAAAAAAAAACACGCACGAATACGGAGGAATCGGAATATAAGAAAAGAAATGTTCGGATCAATTCATGAACCTGTCTCGTTCGTCGCGACATGTAACGAGCGTCGAGCAACGAAACATATTGCTCGTGTTTCATCGAGGAGACTGAATCTGCTTCTAAGCTCGCCGCCGTTTAAATCAGAATCAGAATAAGACGAAATATATACCGGAGAAAGTTGGAAATAGCGTATCGTGCCAGACATAGAGTGGAGCGCTTTGACGAGAAAAATGTAGCGGCAACTCCTCTGATAAGGGAGGTAGTTTAGTTCTTCTGAAAATTCGTGGGGATGAATTCGTGTCCCGTCAGCGATAATAACGAGCGTGCCATGAGGGGAGTGGGCCAATTTTACACATCCGCTAATTAGAATTTAGAAAAGGAAGGGACGAAAGGAAGAGAAAAAAGAAAAAAAAAGAAAAAGATAGGTAGACTCATCCGTATCCGGGGAAAACGGAAGGATGAGAAAGCTCCGCTTGCCACGAGGCGTAAATAAAATCACGGGGCGAGCGCAGCTTTCCCTGGCGTCGTCGTTATACATTGATGTGATAAGGCTTCTATCTCGAGGATACGTTTGAAAAGAGAGAACGAGACGATAGGAAGAGATATGTTGAGCGATATGTTGTAATTCATTAATCCGCCGTGCTTAACGCGAGCCTCTACGTGCACTCTAGCACTCTCCGTTTCTTCTGAACGTAAAAAAAAGAAAAAAAAAAAAAACTGTCTCTCTAGCGCAGCTCCTTACGTGTAATTAACGTGTAGCGTTGATTCGCACCGTGACGTGTAATCGCATCGTGCGAAAATCGGGAAGTATTCTGATACGAATCCAAGATAAAATCATTGTATTAGAGAGACCAAAGAAACACCTCGTTGCGTTCTTATTACTTTCCTTACGTTCGTGAGAACAAATGCTCCGTCTATCTCGCTTGATGGGAAATCTCGATCTCGGTGAGAAATCGGTGATAAAAAAAAAAAAAAAAAAAGAGAAAAGAAAAAAAAAGATAATGCTGGATGGATTCGTACCATTGGACATCTCGAGTGCACGCGAAGCGTATATTTTTCTTTCGTTCGGACCCGCGTTCCGCGGAGAAGACATTCGGCTGCAGGCTCCTCGACCGGAAACGCGGTCGTAGCTCGATTCGTAGATTAGATTCTTAGAACGTGTAACGTGTATTGGAAGGGAGGATAAATTACGCTGTATTCGTTTTAATCTTTATCGCCTAGCTCGCGATGCTCGCGCCTAAGGAGATCGAAAAGGGGAGGGGAGGGGGAAGGGGCGGAGGAGGAGCGTCATCGCTCGTCGGAGGCGCGCTTCCGGTGTAATTTGAAAGGAAGCCCTCTCACTAGCGACACGTGGCTGCAGCGCGTGTCTACTCCACGACGGCGAAGCGGACGAATCTAGAGATACGCCGATCTAGTCGGAACGACGATCATCGGGAAAGAAAGTCGACGCGGCCGATGATCGTTCAGTGATCCGCGGTGCTTGTTCTTTTCGGGGCACAGGTGAGATTGGTATCCTTTCGGTTGCGGTTCCACCCTTTCGCCACGCAAGAGTATTTCTTCGCTCCAACCAAAAATTTAGCGTCGTCGATTTGGGATTACGATTATCTGTGATTGACAATGTGGATTTAATACGCGAAATATACGTGTTCTCGTATATAGGAGTATATATAAATCCTTTGGTTAAACGTTTCATTCGAGTTTCTTAAGACGTGACGTTTTTCACGAAGAAGATGAAGGAAATGTAGATGAGGAAAATGTTCAAATTTCAATTTTATTGACTTCTTAACGAAGTCATAGAGAAAGATAGGAAATACTCGGTTTCTAAGGTGATTGCTCCTCGTTGCGAAAGGGTCGATTGGAGATTTGATAATCTAGTAGCGAAAAATGATTTGTAGCGTCTCGGAGGATTCTTGTGAATGTAATTTGCAAGGCAGCCGCGTTCTGTGGTAATGTTATTGTAGCCGATGTTTCTTAGTTAAATAGAAGTATTCGCTGTATCGTCTTTTTGCAATTAAATTGTCAAACTTAACGTAGCAGTAGGGTGCGATATTAATTGTAAAGTTAACCCTTCCAGTCTTCGATGTTGTCGGGATTATTTTCAACGAATTTCTTCTCTCGATGTAATAGGTACACGTGCAGATCGATTTCTTTCCAATTTTCGACATGGAATAAAAAAAAACGAAACGAAACGAAAATTGCCATTTTCTCGTACATTTAATTCGATTTCCGATAATGATAATTTGATATTATTCTTCATCATATTTCGTTGTACTTTTTCGATTCTTGGATTCGAAACGAATGATAAAAACCGAGGCTCGAAGGGTTAAACGTCTCAAGGCTTTAAGTTTCTCCGAATATATTTAATATAAAATAGAAACTAATGTACGCTTTTGTTTAACGTGATAAAACGAGATCTTGCAAAAATATAATTGAAAATAAATACTATTAGAGATCCTTGATTCATTCGAGATCGACGATAAGGGAATTGATCGACGATCGAGAACCGCTCCCTCGCGTTTTGTACCTGTTATTATTACTCATACGTGATGAACGTCCCGACTAGACCGGAACTTTAAAGTGCATTTAATACGACTAATTACACGATCCGTATTGACACACACCACTCACTGCTTATAATATAACTATATATACGAGATTGGACTCGTTCGAAGAGGCGAAGGAAATGGAGTAATACCGTGAAATAAAAATTCGGATCATTTATTTTCCCGTTTGACGTAGCGCAATAACGAAGTATTAACTAACGCGTAGTGGATCGTAATATTTCTCATTTAGCTTTGGAGGCTACGTAGATGTAGCGATCGCCATACACATACACACGTACAAACACACCGATTGTATCGCATTTATTAATTATTATATGGGACGCGCCTCGTCATTTTCATGATCCACGCGTTTGTTCGTGGCTACGCACAACGAACCGAGAACGGAGAGAAAAATGTGATAAAAGAAGGATGCGTTTGTTTCGTAATTCGGCTCGATATCGAAGATGTCATGTTAAAACACTGTGGCACGCTTCGCTTAAGAATTCGTTACACACTTTCTGTTCAATTAGTTATGAAAAAAAAAAAAAAAAAAAAAA